CCGCTTCTGGGAATAAGAATTTTGGTGCGAGCTCAGATAGACAAATTGTCATACTGCTTGTGGTCATGGGGAGTGATGCCCCAAATTGGACCGGCGGCTATTTCCGAGGCTGATCTGAGCGTTTGATGAATTTGAGGTACGGTCTTGCACGACGAGCCGTTGCACAGGATAGATCTATCAGACTTTGTGAGCATGATGGGGGGTACTTGCGAGTGATGCTCAGCTGCAAGACTTAAGTGTTTCCGGCTTTCAGAGCAGGCGTTGGAATTGTTGGCAGCTGCTGAGCATTTGCAGAGGAAGAGCTCTGCGCAACACTCAATTCCGAGAGGCACGGCAGTTTCTCAGATCGAGCTGCCTCAGCTGGCTCGCACACCATTCTGCTCTTGCATTACACCACATTCGGTTGCCGTCACATACCTTCGATCCAAATCCAGCCATCTTGTCATGCTATCAGATGGCCTGACTAACAGCGTTCTGGCTGCAAACCTGCAGCTGCCGTAGACGGGTCCATGCTGCAGATAGTTTGGCCAGCTGCCTGAGTTGACAATTAAGCAAGCATGCTTGTTTCACACGTCGACAGCTCTACTTTGGAACATTGCACCTTCCTCGTAAGAGGTGCTAGAGTCGTCATGGTGGAGGACAGCTTTGGCGACGAGATTGAACTGAGTGACGAGCGTACCAAGGCTGCAAACAGGGCATTCTATCTGCCCAGATGCTACTAGCATAATTTATATGTAGCGCTGGCAAGAGCACTATGTCTGATACCTTTGATAAAGGTGCGTGTGCGGAAGGGATGAGTTGAGGTTGGTCAGCACCTGACGGCTGCCTTCTGGAACCAGGATGGCAAGTCACTCTTGAAGCGGCAGCTATCTCAAGATGGATACTCACCAGCCATGGCTGCAAAAGATGCAGAACCGCTTTGCTGAGGTAGATCATCAGTGGAACACCATCTCAGATGAGCCATGGGTGATGCTGGCATTTTTGGCTTCGGGCAGTTAGCGAACTGCAGGTAGCAGGACATAAAGGCTGCTGGACAGTGCAGGTCTCGCAGCTGCGAGCCATCATGGCCAGAAACTAAGCTTTGAGGCATATGCCGCATGACATGAGACTTTCGAGACACTGGTTACTGTGAGAGTCGAGTATGCATGATCTGGCTGTAGTAGGGGAGGTGTGTGACACCAGGAGGATGAACTTTGGAGTGAAAACAGAGCACAGAGCGTGACGGGGTGGGCCCTTGCAAAAGCTCTTGGGAGAAGTCAGGCAGCAATCCAATAAAGGTGTGCTCATGTTTGGCCTTTGAGGACATAATCCTTGGGAAAGGCACCGAGATCACGGGCACGAGCCTCATTCCATGTGGAGTGCTAGCCGCTAGCCACTGTCATAGTCCAGAAACTTATGTTCAAAGCTGGCAGTTTTGTAGCTGAAGCATCTGGATTCGAGCAGCCGGCTTCTTGCAAGATAAGCAACACGCCGGCTTTAAACAGATGACTGAGGTGACGTTGTGAATCGCGATGACACCTGGGATGTGCTGGAGGCTGAAGGAGGAGCAGCGTTGCCCTAGCCGTCGTGTGCAATCATTTCCGGAGGAACAGCCGCCGGCCGAGAATCCAAGCTGCTGCAGTAAGCTAGGCCCAGTCCATCTCTGGAGAAGCTGCGTTCTTGTCACTTTTTTGACTAGAGCCCGTATAATCTTCTCAAGTGAATCTCTCAGCCCGATTTGTGGTTGCGACCTCCGCACCACAGTTAACGAACAGAGCCCCGTGTGGATTTCGCGTTGGTGCTAATGGTTGAGCCAGACTTGAAGACTGGCCCGAGCAGCAATGATTCTGAATTGTGCAGAAGAAGGTGATGATTTTGGTGATGATCATGGCGACATGTACCGTGTTTCTGGAGAGGGAGGGAGGTCGCAGCAATTTGATTGCAAGCTCAGTTCTGCCTTGAACCTCATGAAGTCTCAAGCGAGCAAGAAAACAACAGGCATACATGTGCCGATCACATTTTGCTTAATACAACTGAGGCAACCTGCAGAACGAAGGATTGATTCGTGACCGCAGTTTGCAGGTGCTCACGTCTTCGGGCCTGACATGATGGGCTTGCACTCTATCAACCGTTTCTATCTTGCTGCTTGGCTTTCGAATCTTCATGTCGCAGCAGCAGTGAAACTGAAGCAAGAAACGTGCCTGTGGCATGTGAGCGGCGTGTACTGAGTGCATCGCAATAGTGCTTCGAAGACAGACTGCGTACCGACATATGCAAGGGAATGTCACAGCTGCCTTTGCCGGAACTTATGGGGCGATATGCTCGTAAGACCAGCAGGAGCAACATAAGCAAAGCGGACAAGCTCGGAGTGTCTGCATCAGACCTTCAGACTGCAGTTGGCGTTTGGAACCCATCGGTTCTCGTCTGGGACCTGGGATTACGAACCAGCAATCTGGGCAAAAAGAAAGCGGTGCAGCTGTATGCACATGGTTAAAGCGAGCCCAGCCACTTATCCGAAACAACATGAGCAAGGCAAATTGCAGCTCAGCACGTGCCGTATCCAGTCAATCAAGAGGAGACATTGACGAAGGGACCTCGTGCCAGGGATGGTCCAGGCTTAGAAAGAATAGGTGGGAAACTTCTTTGATCCTGTGAATGAAGATGAACTGCGAAAGCTTCACGTGATCTCCTGATGGAACTCAAAGCCCAGCTGTTGCTGTAATGCCTATACCTCTGGAGATTTCACGCCCTTGTAAAGCCCCGGTCACGTAGAGGACAGCTGCCCAAATTGCGGAAGCTGGAAAATTCTGGAAGAGGGAAAGCTTTTTACTTTGTGATGCCCTCCATTCGGTCTTTGGTCTTTGGTCGGCTGTAAAGCTGCCACTCCGCTCCGCCACTCCGCAAGGACCGCCTCAGTAATTAGTATTCACTTCAGGACTTCATTCTGGCACCTCCCAGGGGAATCTGGAACCTGCGCATGAGGCATCTCAGCTCCTGTCATCAACGTGAATTCACCATCAATTAGCGCCACCGCCATTGTAAAGGCAAGAATGTACTGAGAACAGGTTGATTTAAAACAGTCCCTGTTGGGTGGTTCTGAAAGAATGTAGCGTGATTGCAAACCTTGGAAAGGGTGGCTGGGCAGGTGCAGGAGCACGGAAACCGAGAGTCTCCAGTTTCCAATAGACGGCATCCACCGCACATCACAATCAGTGAATCAGCTGCTTCTTTGTTAAAACTTTGCAGCCAGGCGAGGGGTCTGCCTGACTCAATAGGGAGATGTTTGTACAAGCTGCCGAGGCAGACGATGACAGTGACTCCTCTGACTCGAAGCAGGATGGCGAAGTATGACGCGCGAACACTTGTTTCAATAGTGACTGCCGGCTCTGCGCCCAAAGTACGTTCTGCAGCCAAGCCAGCGTTAGCCAGCGCCATAAGCGGAGGGCGCCCTTCGCTTTCCTAGACATAAAGGCTGTTCGTGGATTCCCAGCACCCGAAAATGCACCAGGCACGTTGTTCCGTGCTCTGCTTTCCGGTGCAATGCTGGGATCCGTTGCAGTTTAGAGAGAACAACTCTCCAGACTCTGACCGTAAAGCGTTTAAATTTTACAGCAGGACCACTACGGACGCCTGCGCGTTGCCCTGCTTGGACAAATGAACCTCAGTGTGCAGATGTGCTAATGACATGCTGTTCGGGCATGCTTGATAAAGCGTAATCCTTTCCCCCTAATATTAAAGGGCAAAAGCACGCCCCCCTAGCCCTTATTTGATGTTTCGGGGTAGGGGTTGCAGTTTTCGTACCACCTGCACATTAGGAGGGGGAGGGTGTATTCAATAGGATCCTACTGAAATCCAAATGAAATGGAATGAACATCGATTGAATCGAACAGAAAAGCGATTCAATCTAAATAGAAGTAATGAAATCAATTATCCAAAGTAAAAGTAAAAGGCATTGGAACGACTAAAATCTTAATTAAACCAACATAAAAACGATTTACAAACGTGACCACACCCATTGAAGTCTGTTTGACATCTGATCGAAATCCAATCAGAATCTACATCTAGTGAATGGTCTAGTTAGAATTTCATTACGCACGATTTCAAATCGCGACCCGAATAAAACTACAGTCACATTATGTATGTATATATGTGCACATGTAAACTCCTCCATGAAGAAATCCATCAACGACAATCAAAACCTAGGAAATCAAGGAGATCCCTGCTCCTGAAGCGTCGTGCTAGGGACCCCCATCCGAGCCGTAATTGACTATAATCTTGACCCTTTTAAAAGTTAGCTTGGGAGCAGGTTTCAGAATTTGGACTTCTGAGGAACCCGAATTTCATATTAATATGAGGGGGAAGGGATTAGCTGGGATTGGAGCACATAAAGGGCGCGTTCGAGTTTCGCAACTGATGCTCAGCTGTGGCCCAAGGTCTAAGCAAAAGCACACATAGCACAAGATGGAAATCGTACAGGATTCGTTTCAGCTTGGGCATCATGAATCCCGAGACAATGCAAAGATGAGTAGCTGCGTCCTCTGCATCGTTCGCAAAAGTTCGCCATGGATTTAGTGCCTGCAACTCTGATGTCTGTGTCGTCCTTCATTCGATGGCTTAGTTCGTTTGCATCAGCCTGTCCATTTAGCCAGGATTCAAGACGGTCATAGTTTTGCCAACGATAAGCTGAAGATGACGGATGCGGCAAGGTCAGAGTACCCTGAGTATTTGGAGCTGCGACAGTACTTGGGCAATTTCTCAACACATCGGCAGTTGGCTCGGCTGTGGTGTCGGTTCTCCTGTGCTGACTAGTACGCACAGGAGCTGATAAAGGTGCTCTCAGGCCTTTGCCCGTCTTTGCAGCTGGCAGCCTTGAGGGACTTCTTTATTTGCTACAGTTTCTTGCTGAACAGCTTGGTCCCAGGAACCTGCCGTGCTTTACTATTTCCAGAACTGCGTTCGGCGAGGATATTGGCCGGCCCCTTCCCAGGCCATTTGCAAGATGACAGTGCGTAGCAGAGTCTACAACTCGAGCTTGGTGAATTAATTCTGTCTGCTCCAGTACTTTAGGCCGGAACTGTGTGCGCTGTTTGCGGAGCAGTCGTCTCTTTGGCAAATGATTCCCAGCATGCAATGCATCACCTGTCTCAACTGGCCGCCGGCTGTTCATGTCTTGGAAGTCCACAGAACCCAAAGCAGCGTTTGCAACCAGGGGCTCCTCAAAGCCGTAGGCAAACGTGTAGTGACGGGAGCTCTTGTAGAGGGGAAGCACCGACAAGGGCCACATAGACCTGCAGCTTTCGCTAGCAGGATAGCTTGGCCATACGCTAGCATCAGATCCACAATATAAGGGGCTGCGCCCAGAACGGCGGTCAGCCGTGCCTCCCCAAATGCCTTTATCACTCAGCTCGCATTTGACCTCACATTTCGAGAACCTTGCTCCCACTTGCAGTGCATTTCTTACGCCCGCAATGCCACCCCTGAATTGGCCTAAAACACATCAACTCTGCACAACAGCTGCGTAGAAAATCAAAAGCCTGCAATTTCGGATGGTTTCGGAGCAATAGCTTCTGACAGAAACCGGGGGTGTGCGCGCTTGCCCGTCCCCTTGTGTCGCTTATAGTTCATACTTGCGCTTCCATGTCGAAGCCTTGCTCCCCTTGGAATTATGTTTTTTCGGGCCTGGCGGCAAAGGCCGGCCTAGCCGTCCCTTCTTCCAAAACTAACCCAAACGGAGCCCCGATGCGCCGAATCCCTGGACGCCTCTGTAAAAGAGACGTTCTTGCTATTTCGATGGTTTCTGAGGGTTTTAGGATCTTCTTGTCCTTGCGTCGACCTAAAATTAAAATGGGACCCCAGTTGTGGTGATGATGGTGGTGATGATGGTGGCGCTGGCGCGCGCGCGCCGCGCGCCGCGCATGCAAGCATCATCGGCACAATTAGGTCCCATTTTGGCTAATTGGGACCAGGAGGGGTTAAGGAACCTAAGGGAAACCATCATCAAAAAGGGCTTTGATCGTGGCTAACCACGTTGTGGCCCACATTGTTTTTCTCAAGTGAGAAGCAAGGTTAAATCGTTGTACAGTCTGAGCATTGGTGCCCCGCAAGTGCTGGACATATTGGTAAAGCACGGCGACAAGATATGCAACATGCCTGCACCTACCATCGGCCAGTTATGCCCGGCAGCCACAAGCGGCACTGCGGTTCTGCGTACCCAGGCACGGTGGGTCTGGCCACTACGGTCACATACGGGTAGATGGCCTCACCTGCCTCACATCTAATGCAAACAGGGAATGGACCAGGCCCCAGGCAGATTCAGCAGGCGCTGGGTCCCTTGTGCTCTGGAGAAGAAAGGCTCAAGAAACCCATGTGAAGATGTATGGCGCCTCTTCTTTTTTTGCCATCCATACCCGCACAAAGAGAGAGGGATCACACCAGTTTTGGATGGCTTGCTAACACCGATTCTGTGATTTTGGCTCCGGCGTTTCGGCACGCTGGCGTGGAGCCGAAACAAAACTACCGGGTGCACGAAAGCACATGTTGATTCATACCCCGTTGTGTGCAATACTCGGTGCCCCATGAGACACATGAGCTCAGATCATTTTTCAATTGAACACCCTCCGCGCAGTTTGTCTGTACACCGTAACGCAAAATATGGATTAAATGCTGGCCTGATTTGAAGGCAACGACGAAGCGCGGGCGGGATTTGAGTGCAGTATGAATTCTCTCTTGCCAGTCATGTAGCCACTGACGGATGCGCATGCACTCGAGGATTGGATGGAATCTCACGCACAGAGCAGCGCACCGTTCACGAGGAAGTCCGTTTTGCTGTAGTAAAGTGGCTCTTCTTGCGTACTGGCAAACATCTTGGGAAAAAACTTGCATGATGAAAGGCTTACCATATCCGCATGCATATAAGCGTTCCAAGAGAGCATCACGAGCGTATAGGAAATCTTCAAGACGGCTGTTGGTGACAATATACCGGTGCAACTCTCCCTGGATCCAACTTGAGAAAATGCTTGGCGCTTGACATGACCAAGGCGGGATATATCTGAACAAGTTCGTGGGTGTAAAATGAGTGCTGAGTCTGAACGGTCCATCTGAACACGAATGCTCAGGTCAAAAGTAACTTCTTCATGGGACCATTCCCATTTACAATGACACTGCGGACTGGCACTTCCCAAAGCTAGTTCAAAATCAAGGCGTTCGTTATCAGGACCTGTCCAAATGATAAAGCAATCAGAACGGCCATGCCATATCGTATGCGGAATCACCTGCTTACACAAGCTGATTGTTCAGCACAACGGTCAAAGCCTCAACGATTGCATGAGCGTCATGCCTTTCATGTGCAGCACGGTTTTCAACTCACATAGATTTGATGCTTTCACAAGATTGTGCAGGGCATGTAGATGAATAAAAGTCCTTGATGTCTCCAACTCCTATAGGTCCTAGCCACACGTGGTATGGAACAGGTAGACCATCCAAAGCAGTTACCGCATCACGTGTACATCTAACAATCGAAGGCTTGTTGGCAACGATTGGCCGCAAATGCCTTTGCAACACCTTGGCCAAAGGAGTGAGCGCAGAACGCGTTGTTGGTGTAGCGCATCGAGCGGATTGATGAGCTGTGTGGGATTTCCATGTGTACTCAATGCTGTGCACGGGCCAGTCCTCAAATGCGGCTTGCACCTGTCATGGTGGGGTTTGTTGAGACCTCTCGTCGTGATGCGCTACTGCGCTGCTTGCAGTTTCATTCGTAGGAAACTCGGCCACTCTTTTCGGGAGTCGCAATCTGGAACAAATGTGATTGACAGCCTTTGACGGCCAAGAATACCCCCAATCTATCAGGTTGTTGGAGAGCAAACTGGGTGGGATCACTGGCCAAAGCAACAGTCGTCTCAAGCTTGAAATCACGACGCATTTGAATAAGGCTGTGGCCCTCGTCATTTTTCACAACCACAAATCCGTTAACTTGAAGCCACCAGAGGCAGAGGCGGTCCATCACGTCAAGGTTACTGTGAGGCTTGAACTTTGTCACCGCAACAGCAAACTTGGATGGCATATCATTGTGCATGGCAGTGAGCGTCTCACTCAGCATCGGACACTTAGAAGGCGGTTCCCAAGTAGAGGGGGTCTTCATGCCAGCCCATCCGCAGTGTAAAGTTGTCGCTGGCACTCGACATCTTGCCGTGATCATTAAAGACATGGCTGAGGATAAGTTGACGTTTGAATGAACGCATGGCAGCATCAAGGTCATGCATGGGAGGTAGCGAACGGCGACCAATAATGAATTTGGGACCTTTTGAAAGTAGGTGAGCTACACAATCAGGAATGCCAACTCCGGGCCACCGTGGTTTTCTGGGCGTGGTCAAAGCCCAACACACCCAGTCCAAGTCCACAGAGAAATATCTCGTATGTAGCGCATTCCCAAGAAAATTGCTGACAAATTCGAGAAAGTCGAGAAAGGACATACTCGATGAAACAAGGCGTGGAACATGTGGCTAACCATTCATTTCAGTGACGAGACTGGCCTGAGGCCTGCTTGTAGCTTCCATGCTCGATGAGATGCTTCAATCACCATGCTCCACACCATGGTCCTCCTGGCTCTCGACGATGTCGGGACGGAGTACGTCGTTGAGGTGGATATCAGGCACGGCTGCTCATCTGGCGAGAATTGCAGGATGGCTGTTGTGCCGTTGATGCTAACCCCTTTGGCTTGCCTTCGCGGGTCTTGCTTACCTTTGCCCTTGCCTTTGCCTTTCTGCTTTCTTTCACGGCTGTTGTTGTGTGCACTGGGCGTGCGGCTCCTCGATTTATCTTTACCTTTCCCTTTACCCTTGTTGGGAAGTGGGGGTAAAAATCGTTGATATTATTGCCATTACCTTTACTTGGCTGATGTCCGGGACGACGTGGGAGAGAGCGATGATGCCTGTATCCGCCTCCGTCTTTGCCGAGTCCTTTCACAAACTCAGCCTTGAACGCAGAGATTTGACGGCTAAGGGCTTGCTGCTCTTTGTTGTCGAAGCAGAGTCGTCGGAATGCTGGAACGGATTTGCCGCAAGTCATCATCTGGGAGACCTTACTTTCAATCACGAGCTCAAGCTGGGCCTCTTTAGGTAAAGATGTGAAAGCACTTTGGGCTGCTGTGTGCTTCTCAGTGATCTTCTCTTGGGTTGTTACGCACACGTCTGGAGGCTGCGGCAAACAGGATGTGCTCAAATAAATGACATTCTGGCAAACCGTTTGGCTTCCTCAAACCAACTCTCATAGCCAAAGTCCAATCCCAAAGCCATTGCGCGCAGCTCATCGACGATCTTGTCAAGCTATGCCTGGATAGTACGGCCTGCAGCTGGACCATCTTGAACTGAGAAGGCCACACCCAGTAAGAATTTTTCGTGCTGAGAAGGAGTCCGCGAATGCGGAGTCCTGCCTGATTCCTTGAACTTCTGATATTCTTCCAGGACAGACTCGAACGGTTTCCCGCAATCCACAGAGCGCCAACGTCACGTCGCAATTGCTCATGGTGCTGGTATAGCATCATCTGGAAAGGCTCTTGGATGGATTTGAAATCGAAGGCAATTATTTGAACTTCATTCATCTTGCTGATGATCTTCAACATTGTACTCACGCATCGCTGCAGCTTCAGCCGGCATCTCACCCCGGATTACTGCACGCCTGCCTTCACTGCCGGCAGCATGACTGTTGGTAATCCCTGCATGTCGAAGATAGGCTACTTTGGAATCACGATTTGCTTGACGCCACATTGGCTATGCTTGCTCTCTGGTGAATGAGATTCACGCCCGCAGAAAGAGACAGGATCACACCAGTTTTGGATGGCGTACTGGCACCAATTCTGGGGCTCCGGCGTTTTGGCACGATGGGCGTACGCCTCACCACGTGGATTGCACTCTTCAGCACCATTCAGCACCCTTCCACGTGATGTGGAGCCGAACCTAAACTACGGGGTGCAGGAAAGCACATGTTGATTCAGACGTTGTGTGCAATACTCGGTGCATCATTGGACACATGAGCTCAGATCATTTTTGAATTGAAAAATAACCTGAACTATCCAGTGCTCGTGTCACCCAGCTCAAGATAAAAGCGCCAAGTAATTCTTTGCCGTTTAACATAGCGGAGCAGCTTGAAGATCTAAAGCCATAGAGGAGAAGAATTTCGAGTCACACGGAGTGGCGGTAGGCATATTGAACGACACGCGCCAACATGCTGAAAGCAAGTGACCTGCGGTAAGCCCAACGTTGATTGCGGCTCCCCGAGAAGGATGTCGCTGCTCGGCTGAGAGCAAGCGACGAACAGAAGCCAGCACTGATTTCAGGAGGTTCACAGCCCATGCGCGCTTGCGCTGTTGCTGGCTCTCCCAAACGATCTGCATCTCAGGTTCCGAAGTGAATCGTGAAGTTTCGGGAAAGATGGCTTGGCGGTCTGAACCGGAGTTCACGGCGAGTAACGGTCCATCGCCCAACATTTCCATCTGTCGGAGCAACGGATGTATGCCTTGCATGAGATCAGACTAGCAGCCGACATGATCATGCGCAGATCAAACTGACATTTGTCTGATTGTTTGACTGTTAAAGGCGTGCAAGGCTTCATGGGCCTTAATGAGCATCTGAGCCATGTCCCAGTATCCATAGCAGACTGATGGGGTGGACGCATGGTCCCTTTCTCCGTACTTGTCCAGGACGAAATCATCAGCAGACCACTTGGCGCCGGGCTCTTGGAAGATGGTAAATTTTTTTGTGAGAACAAAAAGTGTCAATTAGTCAGTTCTCGTCCCTGAGGCCTGGCCACTATCCCGTTGATCGAGACTTCCCGACTAAACGCAGATATGAGGCCAGGCTCGCTCAGTGCTCGCTGTTACATCACTTTAGCATCCTCCGCCTGCTGTCACTGCTGTCACAGGAGGTTCCCACTGGATGGCTGACGAGGATGTCGCTGATGTGTTTGCATGAGATGTCAGTGTCATGCTTGAGAAGCTGTCGAGACCCGGCTGGAGACGAGGAGTGCTCGTGTCAAGCATGTCTTCATGCCCTATGAGGACAGTTGTTGCCTGAAGAAGCAGGGCTGATAGCATGCTGATCCAAGCTTTCAAAGAGGGCGGGGGCCCGACGGGCAGGATCGCAGTCAAGCCTTTCAGCGTCTCTTGCCGGGAGTAAAGAACCCGGGCCCCGGGCTGCCTGGCCGAGGATAGACTGCAAGTTGGAATGTGTTCAGACGACTTGGTGCTTACAGGCAATATGACGAAGGCATGACCGGGAGGAAGCCCATTCGTCACGAGCTTACACCAGATAGCCTATACCTACATTCAGACTCTACTGCGCTGGCATCCTTGCAAGGTTCCCAGGAAGGCACTACACCCGAGTGGACGATTCCAAAGAATCTGGCCAGGGGAAGCTTGTTTGCTCTGTGATGATGAGATCATTCGAGTTGTGTTAGTCGGCAGGAAGTTTCCTTCCATGGAGAGGGCTGATGGAAGGGGTGAAGGGAATGTAATTGTAAGCACCATCGCGCACCCGCCTCGGCTGTTGGGGAGAAATTCCTGAACACAGGGTTTGGGGGAGTTGGGGCTTGTTGGGGGGTTGGGCGTGGGGGAGGGGAGGGGTTTAACTAAATGGATTCCAAACGCCCTGGGGCTGGAGGGTTGGAGATTCTCGTTCTGAAGCAAAGCGGGGGCCGCATAATCAAGCGTGCTCTTTGAACTGGGCAGGCTGCCACTGGTAGGTGTGGCACTTAATTGTAGGCGATTGCATCGACATCTTCCAGTCTGATTGCATCGGAATCGAATGGAATTGAGGCCGCTGCCGCGGCAAGTTACTGCGGCGGATCACCTGGGTCCAGGTTTGTATCAGCTGTTCGCAGCTTAACTGTGGCGGCATATTCTGGGCCAGAAATCAGAGTAACGGAGCGCACTGGACTTCACGACAACTGCCGTGACAACTGCCGCATTGTCCAGTCCAAAAATACTGCTCTCTCCCAGCCCTTGAGCGCATGGCAGACTCCTGGTAGGCGGTTCAGACTGGTGCATCTACAGGCCCAATCGCTTCACGGAAATCGGCTGGCGCAAGGCAAAAACTTTGGAGCGCGCAGCAAGGTGCAATCGGTTCGCATATGTTCTGTTGGATGTCAGTTTTTGTGACAACTGCCAGGCACAGCCGAGAAACGTGGGCTGGTTCGCAGTGACCTGCCAGATTGTGGATGTGGAAGGGAATAAAGAGAGCACAATATACATATATATATATATATCCAGCAGTCATTACAAATTTGAGCCACTACCTGTAATGCAGGCGTAGTGGTCGAAACTGGTGCACAGGTCTCACGTCCTGAGTCTAGATTTGTGTCCTCCTCTTGCACATAAAAGCTCAAGTGCAGTGCGTAAACGTGAGGTACAGCCAAATCTTCAATCGCATCAAGCCGGGAGAGAAGCTTGGCTTGGCCAAGGCAAAAGCGTCTTTACGTGGAGCCTCCTTAATGGCCTTAAGGCTTTCAACTATCAAACCGCTGTTCCCTCTCACTGCGCTTCCTGCCAGGCTGCTAGCTGTTCAAGCATCAGCAACGTCAAGTGAGGGCATTGCTTCTTGAAGTTCTCTTTGACGCTGGACCAAAGTGGACTTTGTCTAGTATGCCTATCTTTCCGATATAGTGTCTGATTCTCCGAACCCAGCACTAACTATAGTCTCGTACCAACATCGGTATCATTCCTACAAGAATAACGTGCCCATTTCCCAAAACTTGGTTTTAGTCCGAACCTCTCTGCAACACTGGGTACAACATTCATTGTTTGGCTATTCGACTGGATGCCTGTTTGTGACTTGTAGGGTCTAAGCCAAAGCCGTCTAAGCTCTGGTAATCTCTCGTAAGAGTCTGAGATTCTGCGCTGCCGAAGGCACTGCAGTATCCTAGCTGTGGCGCAGTGCCGCGCCTGTGTCACGTGGGGAAAAAGCAAACTGTGTAGAGATGGAGATAGGATGAGGTCAGACTTGCTATTATTCAAAGTAGATCTGGCTTTGAAACTAGGCTAGGATCCAGGCCCTTTGATACAAGCTATCGTTGGCATCGCGAGCTCGAAGCTAAGTTGGCAGTCTTCCAATTTGATTCAAAGGCTTGGCACTTGAATGCAATGAGAATGAATGGGAGCAAGACATGGGAGACTTGGCATCGGACCGTTCCATCTTGGGGAGGATCTGCAACAGGGCGGTTCTCGCCTAACGTCGCGCAGTTGGCGATGCATGCACATCTGTCCCATCGTTTGCTGCCACAGCATTGAGCCATAAGGTGCTTGTGCGAGGGCTCTTCGAGCTGCGGATTTGGTTGCATCCGCCAGGTTGAGGATTTGCATTGACAGAAAGCACACCACAGAGGCACCAGCGACATGAGACCTGCGCTGCAAGCCAGCTTCCGCTGGAGTGACACAGGCTCCGTTCATCCTTCTGCCTGACTGACGTCTGTCTAACTGCGCCCTTACAGCTTGCCTGGTCCAGCATGATGCCTCATGATCATGTGCAAGTGTGTCGTAATCGCCGATGGACTGCAGATGCTGTGGCAGCTATTTGCCAGCACTGGCACGAGGGCACCCAAGGGCGATTAGAGCGGTTGCTGCAGGTATGTCCGATTGTTTCCAGCCAGGTTCCCCAGCAGTGCATGTCGTGAATGAAGCTAGCCTGATGATCCCTTCCCACACTTCGTGGTGGACACGCGCTCATGCCAGCCAGTCTGATCGTTACCCGGCGCAGGGCAAGCGAACTTGGAATGTTGGCTCTTTTTTGGGAAGCTTAATATCAAGATCGGCCGCCAGGACCTGAAACAGCCATCCTCCTGCACATTTGGCTCTAGCCAAGCCATACTCATCCCGCCCACGTCTAGGTGGCATTCGGGTTGAGTGCAGGGCGGGCCGCGAAAGTGACCCTAGCTTTTGGAAATGCACGGACAAAATGCAGCGAGTCGAGTAACACAGGAATAGGGCCGGAGCTAGCAAACCAGGCATAGCAGATGTGCTTCGGTGAGAATGGTCATGATATTAACATGGGAGGGATTCGACAGCAGCGCCAGCTGTGGGCTTCATGCAGATAAGCAGCTCAGCAGTTGCAGAGTTTCAGACTCTTGTCGGCTTGCGCCGAAGGTGCTCTGAAAACAGAGTGGTCCATCTACAGGATGGTGCGCTCCGGGCCCATGTCAATGTTTAAAGTGTGATCTTGTTAATTCCATTCCCTGTGGTGACATGTGGCGAAAGCGTTGTGCAAGTTGGAAGTCTGAAGCCCCTACCTGCAAGGAGCTGGCGAAGGATTAAGGGTTCAGTAGGCCCAAAGGTGCAAAAGTGAATCACCTCCCACCCTCACCCACTCCCTCACCCTGACCCTCTTCAAGTCTAAGCCCACCGGTGTGCAGTGCCACACAGCAGTCGGCAGCAAAGGCGATCCGTCAAGCCATGATGATTCGATGGAAGCGCAGCCAGCTGGTCAAGCCATGTCGAGCCGAGGTTCGATGGATTTGACCTAGCAACAAGCAACCATGCTTCGTGCACGTTGCTCGCCAGGTGTGTCCCTAGGGCATGTGACAATGGGGCATTGTTTCCTGGGTTCTTGAGGTGGCACGGCAAGGGGTGTTATGGTGGCCGCAGCAAATGCTTTGCACCACATTTCAAAGCTTTGACAACTGGGGACCGCTTTGGCGAGCGTCGCGTGATCAGGGTGAGTGTGATCACGTGCTTTGGCCATTGTAATGCTTGCGCCATAAACTTCCATAAACAACACTGGGACGCCAAAAGGTTGGAAAACAATTGTTCATTTCGCACCCAAGCTGGTGTTAGAAAATGTTACAACTGCAGCGGACAACGTGAGCATGGAGTGGTCGGGTAGGATTTGAAATGGTTCGGCGTGACTGGGGTGACGGATTGCTTGATTGCTCGTTGGATTCGTTGACCAGACATCTGGCGACTGTTGGTTCGATTTCACAAATGGACAGAGCAAAGGCTTTTGGACGACGAAGCGCAACCTGCGCGCCACGGAGTAGTGGAGGAGCCGCAATCCCTACGAGCAATGGTGACGGCCACTACCAAAACCAGCTTCCTCATGTTGCCAACCTTTGGATTTATGATGTTGTGTTTCACGTTTCATGTGGCAACCTCTTGAAGAGTAGCGAGTCACGCATTTCATCGCTCCAATGGGTTGAAGCGAGTGGGGACAGGTTATCAGCATGTGGGATGGTTGCTGGGCAGTGGCCGGCTCCACCAGGCAACATCTTGAATCGGCTTGTGTCGGTCGGCCGGTGGTACCGCCGGTGACCTCCAGCGCGCCTCCAGCGCGCACTCCGCCCGCAGCCCTGCGGTGCCCCAGTGAGGGTCAACAGTGCTCTCTTCGGGGCCGCGGGTGTCGATAGTGAGCCGCCAGTCCACCCGGAAGCGAACGCCGAGGAAGGCCTCGGCGCTGGTGACGCTGGTCAGACAGCCCAGGCCCACAGGCAGCCATTTTCCAGGGATGCAGGCATGTGCCGCCTGCATTTTTTTTCGTTTGCAAGGATGTGACAACCGCTTCCTCACAACTGCACCGCCTATGAAACCAGGCTTGCGTGGGTTGAGGCTAATGCAGACATATGTGGGCTGCAAGCAGGCCGTGGAGCAAGCTGCGGGCATGAATCGGGCAGGTCGGTCACAACAAAATATCTGATTCATCCGGCCTGGCAGTAGTGATCTTAGTGATCTTTGTGTACATCGATATTGGGTTATCAACGTGGAGGTGCACCGTAGATGTCGGTCAAGCAACGCAGGTGTGGGAACAAACAAAGCCGCGCGTTCGCTGTTGCGCAGCTTTTGTGTCGTTACAGCTGGCATCCAGCGTTGATTGATGGCAGGCGGCCCCCCTTTTCGCCGCTTTGATAATTTTCGCCACGACTTAGCCCCTGATGCAGCAGCCCGTGCAATATTGGAGGGTTCCCCGTGGTTCCCAGTGCCCTCGGGGGCAAATGTCGACCACCACAGGAAAGCACCGCTTCGTGCTTGCGTTGCCCTGACGAACTGCTGGAGGACGTGAAGAAGTCTGCCTGATTGACACCATCACCTGCATTATCAGGACACCGCAGCAGCGGGCGGGTCAAGCTGCACCACCGCGCGGGGCGTATCAATTTTATGCTGTTAGTTCCAGCTCCGGCGCACATGTGCAAAGCGAATTGGGACGTCCGCGTCGCATCATCAAAGGTGTGAGACAGTCTGCGTGAGCAGCTGCGGACGCCCACGCTGAGTTTGCGTGATCTGGTCGAGCGGGGCCAGGCCGCGCACGGTCTGACGTGCGGATATGTGCGGCGCCTGATGGCACTTGGGTTCTGGTGGCTTGTTGGAAACCGCACTGGACCTTTTTGCTAAGCGTGACTGGAGGCAAACAGAGGCCCACTTTCACTTTGGCGCCCCCCGAGGGCGCGAGCCTTTGGCTTTTGCCGCCTTCACGTGGGAT